TTATGTGCAACAGGTATAAATTTGTCTTTAAAAATTCGAATGCTACAAATATGGCTCACTGGCAAAATTTATCGGATTCGACAAGTCAGTGAAGCAAATAGCTAACCAGGAATGGTTAGTTAGCACTTAGAAAAAAGTAATATTTCATGAATAAATAAGAAATCTAAAAACGAGCCACCAACAGCTATTCGTCCTCGATTTTTTGCTGCCTTATTCATTTTAAAGTGAACTAAAATAGAGTTAGAAACTTCAGCAAATCACTCTAAAATTTATTATTATGTATTATATAAATTTGATTTTGTTTAAAATCAACTTTCAATATTTTATTCTCATATTCAATTGAATTTTTTATATTTTATATTTTTTATAATTTCGATTTTTTTTATAATTTTTTTAAACGATAAATCTAACAGTTTAATTCAACTAAAATTATTTCTTCTCCAATGATAAGGTAAGAAAAAGTTTTTTAATTTATTTAAATATATAAAATTATTTTTATTCAATTTAAATATTTCAAAAAACATAATTTCTATGATTTAATCTATGATTTAAAATAATTAAAAAATAAGTTGATTATGATTTAAAAAATAAAAAAAAAAGAGATATGAGAGGATAAGTAAAAATTGAGTGATATGGGATAAACGTATTTATAATTGTGAAATGGCATTAAAAGTCATTTTATATGACAATTATAATGGTGTTTATGTTCGAGAAAAATTTTACTTAATATGATTTTTAATAATAAAACTTATAAGAATTCTATCTTCTTATAGAAAACCTTATTTATTAAATTGTGTATGCAATTAGAGAAAGCTTATAAGACTTAAGTTATTATTAGTAGCACTAATTCTAATTTGTGCGACTTAAAGCCATTAACCAATACATTATTTATGTCAAATCAACACTTAAATACGTTTTAGAAAAGAATTTTGATGGCTCGAAAATTTTTCGAATAACCGAAAAAATTTTTTTCTTCCTCTTAATATAAATTCATTCTTTTGGCTATTTGGCTTAATATATTTCAAATAATGAAAATTCAGCAAAAAATTCAATAGTAGTAGAGTAGTGAGATTTAAATTAAATAAATTTTAAATAAATGCCATAAATTTAAAATATTTAAATTTTTTGCTTCTTTAATAAATAAAATTAGAGAAGTAAGTTTTTTTATAGCATAAATAGTTATAGAATATTCTATTTTATTCATAATTAATTAGATGATAAAGAATAAAAATTTATGATAAAATTTGACCGTATTTTATCGATGATTAGATAAATTTTTATGAAAACAAGTAAAATTTTTCCAAGTAAAATTATTCTTCTGATATTCATTGTTCTCAACTTGGCTGACTCAACATCACCTATTAATCAAATAGTTTTCTTTTGCTTTAGAATAATGAAGCCTCTATCACTTAAAGACAAAGATACAGGTAGGTTCCAAGCATCCAGTTGGATTTCAATTACAGATTTTGGCATGAACCGTAGAGTGAAATCTATTTAAAAATAAAAATTATGGTATTTATAAAAATTAAAATTGATCTATTTCTCACCACAACTACATAATATTGTGATTTGCTAAGCCAAGTGTTTATTTGTCCAAAGCGAAACGTGGAAACATCCTTAAACTGCGAAATCGGCCAATCGTCTTGAATTGAAATCCTTCGATATTCCCCAAATTCTATCAAAACCTTATCCTCGTTAATAACGCTATTATTTCTGTCCACAATTCTGCAGAATTTAGTTTACTGCTTTACCATAATCTTAACAATCGCAACATCGTCTTTAAGCTCTTTCTACTATTTTTGCTCAATTATGCTTGCCATTTTTTCTCTGAACATCATTCAATTCTGCTATTTTAAGTTACAAAATCCGCAGAGGGATACGGCAGAGACCAGGGACCGAGCAAAGTATTTCAGCAAATGGTGGAATTACTAAAGACCTATATAGAGAGATTTCACCAATATCCTCGACAGTGAATAATCTTTCAGTAGTGTACCAATAGGATATTCAGAGGATATAAATAATTTTAAGTTGTAAATCTAGAAGTTTTTTTACACATTTAATATAATTAATTATTGAATCTATCAAATTTCTGATAGATTACGAAAGCTTAGGAATATTCATCTCGGCAGTTATAGTTATAGCTATAGCATATTTTATGTTTATTTTCAGATACTCAAGATTCTCTCTTTCTTCTAGTAGCAACATTTCTTATTTAGTTTCCTTGATTATCTATAAATTAGAATAAGGCTCTTTTGTTAGAGAACGAATTAAAGACAGAACCAAGGTCTTAGAATCTCGCTCATGCTACTCGATTATTCTGCATAAATTCTATAGGCAATAAGCAATTTCATTTTAAAAGTACATATATTTTCCGTTTTTCAGTCTATAGATTTTCATTTTTCTTCTTTTTTTCTTACAACTTTTTTTTTTTACATTTATATATATATATATATATATTTTTAAAGTTTAATAAATAAATTTGAAAGACAATTGTCCTTAAACGAATTTATATAATAGAATTTATATAAAAGATAATTATCCACAAAAAAAATCTATAAATTTTTTTTAAAATCCGAATTTTAAATTTAAAATAGTCATTTAAATTTTTCTCACCAATCAAAAAACTCTCAAATTGTGATTAAACGATATTAAATCGTTTTCTTCTCATTTTTATCTCAATGAACTTTTGAAAATCTTATTACTTTCAAATATGACTTTAAAATTCAATCGTTACAAATTCTTTTGAAAATACAAAAAATTAAAATTTTGCCGATTTTTTTCCGCATAAATATTTTAAAATATATATATTCATTCAATATTCATAGTGTATATTTAATAAAACGTTAAATGAGAATAAGATTGATACAATATTAATTGAATACCTTAGGTTATATTAGAAATAAACAGTTTATTTTATTAATTATTAATTTTAATATTGATTTCATTAACCAGATTTTTGAGAAGTTATTACACAGATGTTATTGGTCTATTTTTTCTATAGGGTAATTTAAAATTTTCAAATTTTTTTTTCCACTTTTAATATTTTTCTATTTGTAATAATCTAGTATAGCTACTAATTCCAGCGAATATTACATAGAATTACATAAATATTAAGTAATTTTTTTTTCTTTTTTACCAATGCAAAAATAACGGATTTGCATTAACGTTGTCTTTGATGTGAAATATCATATAAATAGTTGTGAAAATATAGTCGATATCTTAATACGACATGTTAAGATAAGAAAAAAGCATTTTCTATTAAAAATATAAGATTTTGATTTTTTTTGTACAAAAAAAAAAAATATGGATAGGTAGAATGTTACTTTTTTCATTTCAGTGCACCAATGTTAAAGTTCCAAAAGTAAAATTGTCTTTAAGAGAAAAATTCGTATTCTATTTGCTATTTCTAACGCTAAATGTTTCCCTAACAAAATCTGTCTGGTTTTAACAGATTGACGAAACGAATTTAGCCAGAAATAATGAAAATTCTTAGAAAAAAAAAAGTTAGTATGAGATTTTGATTTCATTTTCTGCGCTTTATTATCATTTCTATTGCAAATTTTTGTCTTTTATCAACTTTAGTTTTAAATATGTAAATGCGATTTTTCGTTGTAAAACTATAATTTTTTACTATTTATATGCAATATTTCGCTATATCATTCTGATACGAAAAATATGAAAAAAAAAAAATTGATAATAAAAAATCGAACGATAAAAGAAAAGTTGATAAATTTCTGGAAAAAAAGCTATTTTAATAAAAAAAATAAATAAATAAATAGCTTTTTGATTGTGTAACGAATAAATTTAGAAATTCGATTTATTGTTGTAAAAAGGTTCGATGCATAAATTGAGAGTGAAACTTGAGAGTGATCGCAGTTCAAGCGCTTTCAAGTGTATTAAACCGTATTAAATCTTCCGCATTCTATTAAAAATTTCCTTACAAGGCAATAAGCATAAGAAAAATTACCTGATCCTTTACGTTTTTTTTTTATGGCATACTAACTCATTACGTTTATTCGATTCTTATCTTTGAAAGCGCCGAATCCTTAAAGCTTAAAGCTAATCGAAATTTTCGTTATCGTCGCTGATTATTTGATTTTATCTTTAGTTAAAATCGATTATTCGCTCGTTTATTTATTACTTATTTAAATAATCAAAATTTTAAGTAGTAAAATTTATATGAATGAAATTTATATGTATAAATTTTTAAGTGTTATATGAGCTATTTGCAGATTTAATGAGAGATTTTTGAAAGCATTTGATTTTTCATAAATTTTATGCTTTTTCAAAAGATCTTCAAGAAAAAAAAAATATTCCTGTCACCATTGTTCATTAATATTTCATACATATGTAATTATATGTGTTCACTGACTCGATACTTTATAGATTTCATATGGCTCATGCACTTTGCCCAAATCGACAAAGCATTAACGCATTAATTGTTTAGTGGTACTAATATTTTTTTTACGTTGAAATCTTTTCTCTTATCTTTTTATTAGCTCTTTTTTTAAATATTTAAAAAAAATATAATAATTTTTTTCAATATTTAAAACTAGCAGAGCGGAATTTTAAAGGGCTAGAAAAAAAAATAAGAAAAGACGATTATATGGAAAGAAAATCAGTTTTATAAAATAAAAATCTTTGGTCATCTCAATAGTCATTTCGATTTTTTTTTTGGAAATTCTGGAAGTAATTCTTTTTTTTTTTATTCGATCTGCTTAATTAATTAATTTTATATGATTTTTTTTATATTAAATTGCTTATGAAAAAAAATGATTTATTGAAAAATTGATTTGCTAGAAAATCAAATGATATGAAAAGATGTAAATCTTTATCAAAGATTTATTTTTTTATTTACTTATTTTTTTAAATTATATTTATTAAAATTTAGCGTTCGAATTTCGTGTTTTTTTTTTTTTTTTTTTTTTACCGCATAGTATCGTACTTTATTCATTTGTCCATAATGATAATTTTTATCATTATAAGCAAATATTTTCTCTCTTACAGAGAGAAAAAAAAGCCACTAAAGAGGGTTCAATTTGAAGAGTTATCTTAGAATGCATATTGTAAAGAAAATAAAATATTGCGAAGTCTTACTGCGATTTACGCAGTAGTTTCGTAATTGAATGAGGAAACGCATCCAATGCGGAACAGGCAATACGCGTCATACAGTTTATACCATCGTAAAGGTCATTTTATTAATTATTTTAATTTTTCTAAAAAATTTTTTTTATAATTTTATTATTTTTTTATTTTGACTTATAAAAAAAAAATTCATTCATGAAAAATAACGAATTATTTTATAAAATAAAACTCCTATTTGTTTATTTATTTATTTGTTTATTTATTTATTTATCTATTTATTTATTTATTTATTTATCTATTTATTTATTTATTTATTTATTTATTTATTTATTTATGGTTCCAATAGATATATAAAAACGAATAATTTTAATATAGTTCTTGAAATTTTTTATTCATTCAAATTCTATTCTCATCCAGTTTTTACTTCAATTAAATTTCATATTAACAATTATTAATAATCCATTTTCAAATTGAATTCATTGCCTCATTTTTATGATTTGCTTGTTATTTAGCATATTTTCATATTAATTTTTCTTTTTAGTCGTCTTACAATTAGCTAAATAGTTGTATGTTTGATTAAGGCAAATATAAAAATATATAAGCTTTGATTAATTGGTGCTTCACTTATGTGGGAGTATCTTTCTAAAACGCTAAATGAAGCGCGTACTCTTTAGCTTAAAATATATATTTAAAAATAGAAAATAACTATAAAAATTTAAGAAATATACAATTATTTTCTATGAGTATAGAAGAAAATAATTCTAGGACGAGGACGTGAAACAGGCTACCATCACGCAGCGGTAGTAGAAGTTGGCGCTATGGTCCTTCAAAATATGTTTAGCGCTTTGTCTTTCTTACATTATCGTAAAGATGATGATTTTGTTGATCGTTTATCATATTTTTATACGTCTTCATTTCTTATAATGATGGCTGTTTTAGTTAGCTTCAAACAGGTTTGTTTTCTTTAATCCTATTTATATATCATAACTATATTTGTTACCAGTTTATGGTTCTTTTGGTTTTTTTTTTCTCTTCGATTCTTTAATATGAATAATGAAAATATAAAGAAAAGAGGCTAGAATACAATACAATATCCATTTCAATAATCTTATGGTAGCCTTCGACTTAATAATAATAGTGAGAACAATGATGTATTACGTTAGAAATTTATGAGAAATATATGAAGAAATGTAAAAAATTCTAAAGAATAACATGCAACATTTATTCAGATAATAAGAAATTGTCTGGAAATTCAATACGCTTTTTGAAATTTCATAATCGAAGACTTTTTTTTTTAAAAAAGTCCTCACCATTACTGATTAAACTCGCTCTATTGTTACATTAGACAAATATGCTAGGGAATCCTTTGGCGATAGAAGTACAGGTGAGATGCCAGCGTAATCCGGATTTTTGGACAAGTTTACTCCTGCGGAGAATAGAATAGAACCTGAGCATTGGCGCTCCGAATTAAACCATTCTATCCCATAATTAAGGATATATTACTTATTTTTTTATCGTGAATTTTTTTTTTTGCATGAACAAAGCCGAAAATATATCAGCATTATTGCATTCTTTATCACAGGTAGATTATCAGAAATTGCTATGATATGATTTGAATTTTGTTTTACTCATGAAATATTCATTCGATTTGCTAAAGTAAAAAATTTTCTCTAGTTTTAGACTTTCTAACTAAACCTATTTTTAATAAAATTATTTTATTGCAATTATTATTTTTATTTTATCGCAAGGAGATAATCAGTTCAAGAGGATTTAAAATATTTTCGCTTATTAGTTATTGGACTTTATAGTTCGGCGGACGACCCCTCGAATGTTGGGTTCCAGCACAGTTTACAAGTTCATGGGAAGCATATGCAGAAATGTACTGTTGGGCACAAAATACCTACTGGGTACCAATCGACCAGGTATGTTGCTCGGTTAGAAGATTCACTTCAATTTTTTCGTAAACACTGGTGATTAATAGAAAATTTCTCAGAAATTTATTTGAGTAAGGTAATTTTATTATTTTTATGCATAAGAATAGAGCTTATTTATTAAAATGAGATAATATTTGAAATTTATTAAATAATGCAGAGAGATTATTGTTTTGCTTATAAGATTGATATATGTTCTATAAATAGTTTTCTCCATATGCTTATAATGGACTATGTGCAAGATAAATTATGAATTTATCAAAGATAAAGCAATTGCTATCATACAGTGATAACAACTTAATCAGGGACATGAGATCTACTTTAATTAGCTATAAATAACTAAAAAATTTTAATATTAAAAATTTTGCGATAAATAATCCATTTAAAATGCTTTTAGGATTCGTTTCCTTTTTGATCGCTAAAAATTTATGTTTTGATGATGCGATATTTTTAATAATTTTATTGCTTTAGGAAATTCCAGTAGAAATATCTGAGCGCGAATATCGCCAAATTTCATACTACCAATGGGTTCCATTTTTCTTATTAATTCAAGCCTTCCTTTATTATATTCCGTGCCTAATGTGGCGTTTAATGAGTGATAAATCAGGTTTATTTTATTTAAAATTTCCATTTCCTTTCACATTTATAACATTTCATTCTATTTCGAAAAAAAAAAAATTCGTCTTAATTCTTTAATCAGTAAATTAAGAAAATAGTCAAACTAATAAATAAAAAATTTTCATGAAACAAATAAATTTCATGATGATTGATAAAAAATAATAGCAATTATCTCATCGCTTAATTTAAAAATATCAAAAAATTATTTATTTGCGATCAATTATTTTTGATAATAACATTTATTAAGGTATAAAACTAAATGATATTGTGCAAGTAGCTACCGAAAAAGAAAATATCGAACCAGAATATAGAATTCGAACCATAGAATCACTTTCAAGGCATATCGAATCAGCTTTAAGGTGAGGAAACAAATGTTTATCAATGTTTATCAATGTTATTTATCAATGTTTTTTTTTTTTTTAGTTTCAGATATTTATTAGAATATAAAAAAAAAATTATATTTTTGAAATATTGCATTACATTACATATTACATTATTACATTTGTAAATATTACATTTACAAATATTTATATAACAAATTACTATTTATTTATTGTGGCTAGTACAATCACAGAGGTGTTTTTTATTTCTTTAATTTTTTTGCTCATAGATATCAGCACACCGCTACATCTAGAACTCAATATACGCTTCATCGTGTATTTAAATGTTTCAATTTACGATATTATGAAAGTTATGTGACTGGCCTCTATCTCGTAAGTTTATCTCATACAATGATCCATCTATTTATTCTTTCAATTTTTCACTTTTATTTTTTCTATAGATTTTCAAATTTTCAATTTGTTGGTTTGTTCGTTTACTCGTATCATCGAAAATATTTTCCACTGTCTTCTAACAATTTGCAAATTTGCAACACTACTAGTTAGATTGGTCTCACTAGCCACTGAGATGAAAGGCATTTCCATGTCTCTCAGCTTGAGTCCTTTTTCCATCGCCTAAGTTCACATAACCGTTGCGCCAATGCTTTTAAAATCTATCCTGATTGTATTAGAAGAGATTTTAATTGGTCTCCGTCGCTTTTGAAGCAGTAATTGGGATTAGTAAGTAGCAAAATATGCACCAGTTTCTATGATCGAGACAACAACAATAAACATCGCGTGATAAGCGTAAATAACGCTCGATAACGATACTATTAATGCTAATTGTATAAAAAGAAGATGGAAGTAGTACGTGAAATGAAACTCTTGATGGTCATGCAATATGTAAGCAGGCATATCAAAATCAGCTTCTGGCCACATTCCTATCTTATTGGCTATATCACATCCATTTAACAAGATAATGAGCCATGCGGGCTAATAGATGCATAGACGTTCGATTTTAGAAGCATATCGCTAGAAGGAAGGCGGCGATCTTGGAATCTGGAAAATATGTTTGAAAATCGGCACTTCTTCTTCAGATAGTTTATAAATTTTTTTTTAGCTTTGCTATTAGCTGCTTCACTCATTCTAATAAAATTCTTCGATCGTATAGATTTTTATATTATCCAACTAACTTTGGCGTATGAAGAGATAAGATGAGTTATCAAAAGTGCATTGTCGAAATGATTGATTTATGGTATCATATATTTCTGTCATATATTTTTATCATATATTTCACGGTATAATAATTTTTATCTTAAAAATTTATAGGCAACCAAAGTGATGTATGTGGGGAATATTCTAACAAATTTAATACTTGTGAATAAATTTCTTGAAACGGATGACTATTCAATATATGGCTTTGGAGTTGTAAGAGATTTACTATATGGACGTTCTTGGATGGAATCTGGAAATTTTCCTCGAATAACACTTGTATATCGTATTAATTTTATTATAGCGAATTATTCATATTAGTTTTTTTTATTATATTTAATATAGTTTTATAAAAATTTGAGTATTTTTAGAAAAAAAAAAACTGACGATATATCTAAGATGAAAAAAAATTGCCAATAAACCAGTAGTAAGCCAGTATTGAAATGAATTTTCAGTGTGATTTTGAAGTACGCGTTCTTGGAAATACTCAACGACATTCTGTACAGGTAATTTTTTTTTTTTTTTTTTAATGAATACCATTCGTTAGCGCTCTGTTTTTTGTTCTATGAAGTAGCATTACTATAGCTATTATTTGCATGAGACTTTAAATTACTTATAACCATTTATCAATGAACTAAATACTTATAACTATTTATCAGTAAACTTTTGTAAATAGAATGGATAGCAAAAAAAAAGTAAAATAATTTTGAATAATTATGATATAAATAATTATGAATAATTTTAATTATGATAATTAGTAAAATAATTATGAATAATTTTTAGTGTGTTTTGGTGATAAATATATTTAATGAAAAAATATTTATCCTTATTTGGTTATGGTTCTCAATATTATTTGTTGCTGCAGCACTTGATGCGATGTATTGGTTTAGCATATCACTATTCCATAGGTTCATCTTAATAATTTGAAATTTTTGTATTATCTTACAAATTAATGACAAGCGAGTAATCAAAGGTAATCTATACGATAATTTAATACGAAGTATTGGAGGATCAGTGTTTGCTGATAGTTAGGTAACAAGAAAATGCAAAAGAAAATGTTTGAAGGGGTTAGAATGGATTGTTGGGTTGTTGCTCAATTCGGAGGTCCGATTCTAAGGTTCTGTTCTCCGCAGGAGTAAACTTACCCAAAAATCCAAGCGATGTTGGTGACTCACTTGTACTTCTATCACCAAAGGACACTCTGGTATATTTGTCCAGTGCGACAAGCCAACAGAGTGAGTTTTATCAGTTAAAAAAAAAACAGGATTATAGATGTTATTTCCACAAATCCCTTAGGGATTGATAGTTGCATAGAAGTCCATAAAGCATACGCAACATTTAAAAGTTAAAATTATGAAATATTTATTGAATTTTTTCTCCTAAAAATTTTCAATGAATGTAGAAAAAAAGCATAAAATAATCATGCATAGTGCATTTTTATGTTTTAAAATATTTATTGAATTTTTCTACTTAAAAGCTTTAAATGAATGTACTAAGTTGAATGAATTAATCATTGAAAATGATTTATTACCATTCAAATAAAATAGGAATATATGATAGAAATCACGCTATTACACTCACCTCTCCTGAGAATTGCTATGAAATCTCAAAGGATTCGTAGATGGCAGTTTGACGAAGCTTACATATATTAAGCGCCGATGCTAAAATTCGATTCCCCGCAGGAGTAAACCTGTAGAAAAATCAGAGTGATGCTGACGACTCATCTATATTTCTTTGATAATCTGATTCTAACTTTTTGCATCGTTCGGTCTTTATTTTGAAAATTATTAATTGCACAGATAAAATTTCTACAGACTGTGACCATTTTTTTTCCAATTTTTTAATTTTTAATTCTTTGCTCCAAAGTACCATTGCATATATAACCTTTACCATTAAAATAATAATTTATTATACTTTCACATCCATTTGTTTTCTCATAGAAAGTCAAATTATTGCAGAATATCGATACTAACAACAAACCGTAATTTTACTTGATGATGCTTGATTTATTTTATTAAAATATATTAAATATATATTATTAAAATAAAATATATATTATTTAATATTTATTTAATAAAATATATATTATGAAAATATATTTTATTAAAATATACTCCTTCAGCAAGTAAATCATAGCCTCACAAATATGAAATCCTAACAAATCTTAAGATTTCAAAATTCTTAACTAACCATTAATTTATCCTTAAAATTCTTAAATTTTTGGTTAAAATTGATAATAACAAATAATTAAATTTTAATAAATAGATTATAATAAATAAATAAAAAGAAAAATTTTCAGAGATCGGCTTCGATTTGTACTACGACATTTAGAATTAACAACAGATCCCGATCGGCCCGAATTATTTAGAAAAGAAAAAAGAAAAGAAGTTGAACATTTCTTGAGGACATATTTAAAGGCATTTAAATTTAATTTGCATAAAAATTCATAAATATTGCATTTATCGAAAAGTATATAATTGATAAAAATTTTTAGCTTAGAAAATTTATTGAAAATTTTTTAAAATTTAAATATAATTATAGAAAAAAAAGAGAGAAAAATATGAAAAATTTGAAAAAAAAAAATTTAAAAATTCCAATAAAATTTCTATTTTTATTTATTTTAGGTGGATGGTGTTCTCATTCTACGAATGATTGCATTACATGCTGGAGTGATGTATTGTACTGAAATTACGGATGCTTTATGGAAACGTTATCTTTCACAACATCCAGAAAATTTAATTGATGAAAATTCTTCACTTATTAATTTCGCAAGGCATTTATTTTCATTAAATAATTGACTTTTTTTTTTCTTTTTTTTCTAATTATAATGGAAATTTTTTTTTCGATTTTTAACAATATTTATTATAATCAATCATGATTGTTTTGATATAAATTGATATTTTAGTGTTTTAGAACACAAACAATTCGTCGAAGACGTTGTAAAAAAGGCGAATTGGAATCGAATAGTCATCATTCGAATAGTTTTCGATTTCCTAAATTATTTCAACAACGAAGCGCCGTTTCACTTCGGTATCGTTTATTTTATGAATGGTAAAAATGAATAAAATTTGTTAGAAGTGATCATTTATCAGTCATGATTAACGTTATTTATATTAGAAGTTATCATTTATCAGTCATGATTAGCGTTATTTTTATTAGAAGTGATCATTTATCAGTCATGATTAGCGATCTTTATGCATAAAATTAATTTTTCCAATTTTATTAAGTCATACAGCAACAAAAAAAAAAAAATGAAAATTTTCAGTCGCTATACTAAAAGCAGCTATCGCTCTTTTGATTCGTTCAACGCAAGGATACCAAAAGAGACAGTCACTAGACAAACTTCAGTTGCCTTAATACCACTTTCACAACAAACACCTTTGCTTTAATTTATAATCTAATTCAAGTTGATGAAATTTCATAAAATTTCTCGCCAAATATTTCGAAAAAAAAAGAGCAAAAAAAAACAATTTAAACTTTTTAATAAAAAATAATGTTGGTGCTTGATGTATAATAATTCTCATTCTCATTCAAATTTTAAAATTCTTTCTTTTTTTTTTCAAAAATTTTTTTTATAATAATAATTTGAATATATATTAGTTAAATTTTACTCGAAATTATGCCATAATTTATTAATGAATTTTTTGAATTTCAAATTTTTCTTTATTTATGAATTTATAAAAATATTTTTATTCGATATTTTCGCTGCCTTTTTCGTTGTCTTTTTTTTTTTAAAATTATTTTAGATATTTGCAAATTATTTATATACATTTATTTAGTTAATGCATATTTATTTACAATATAAGATTGTGTTATTGCATCAATTTCAATAATAATTTCTTTTTCCTCAAACAATCATCGATATTGTTTAAAAAATTTTTTACTAAAATATTATAATTATAAATCATTCATTGTGCGTTATTAGTTTATAGAATTTTTTTTTTACATTTAAAAAAAAAATTTTTAGGAAAAATTTTAGAATTTTTTAAATTTATGTATGTTTACAATTTATTATGTAAAATTTTAGTATTATTAAAAAAAATACTTTTCATAAATATTATTTTTTCACATAATAAAAATAATGATAATAAAGATAACAATAATAATAATGATAGCAATAATAAAAAATTTTTTAAGTTAGGTAAAAAAAAATGAGAATAATTCTAATATAATATTTTTTCACAAATTACATTTCTTAGTTTTTTATTATAAATCATATTTTTCTCCTCTTATTTCTTTTTTCTTCATCTAAAAAATTATGCGCAATTATCATTTCTGATTCGGCTGATTTTCACTGATAACTGATAATTGATAAATAGGATGAAATGTTGCGATGATATGATGTAAATATTCGTTAGAAACTCATTTGAAAAAAAGGATAGTTCCATCAAAACTCATAGCAATATAAGTTAATTTATGGTAATTATTCGATTCTCAACTTTTACTCTAACTTTATTTATTTATTAACTTTAAAACTTCAACTCATTTTCATAATCTATTTTATTCATTAGTGTTATCGTATTAGAAAACTAAAAATTCACTGATGTCTTTAAAAATTTTCAACGAATTTTTCATCAATTTTTAAATGTTTTACTCATTAGTAAATAATATACAGTAAGAAAAATGTGAATGGCTGTCATTTAGTAGACCTTTAATGCTACTATAAATCAGCCTTGTTTGTCAGATGATTTTTTTTTTTGTTGTAATATTAGATTTGTTATTGAAAACGAAACGATAGAGATGCTGTGGATATGGGTTTTGCCTATGCTTTTTTCTTTTTTGATGGAACTATACTCAATTGAAGTGGGAAAACTATCTCTTTCGCTAGCAAATCGGCTTGCCGGTCTTTTACGCCTTTCACGTTGGCGTCTTTTTCCGCTAATTCCGCTTTTAATGAAAATTTTACCGCTCATTGAGAGAGCGAAAAATTGAATTCATATTAGTGGAAATTTAAATTTTTAACGTTTCTATTCTTTTCTCCCATAAAATTTCATAATTTTATTAGGTGATTTCATTTTTTTTTTTAAATTTTATAGATAAATTTATTGTAATTCTTTTTTTAATTTTTCTAAAAACTATTATTTGTTTATTTTATTTATTTTTCTATTTTTTATTATTTATTGTTTATTTTCTATTTTTTATTATTTATTATTTATTTTCTATTTTTTATTATTTTCTTTTTATTATTTTTTATTTTTCTATTTGTTTCTGGTCTTTTCGAATTGGATAAATTTCGCTAAGAATTCATTTGAAGATGATTAGAAATAAAAATGAGCATCAAACATCGGAAAGATTTTTAAAAGATAAATTTGCTGTTACTGAGTGGAAAATAGAAACTATAGCATTAATATTCATCTATTTCTTTATCATTAGAATTTATCATAAAACTTATTGATAGCGATTCATTGAAATTATTTTTGTAAATATAATAATGATAAATGCAATGATAAATTATTTCAGTTTTCTTCACAACAATTCTTTTTTTTTTTTTTTAAAAATATCAATAATGGATTCTAATGAAGGAATTAAACGTAAACGATCATCGGCTATTTCAAGAAATCAACAAAAATCATCAATTTCTTCGCCTTCTTCAAATACGAAAAAGTTATTTTGAGAATATTTTTTTAAAAATCGAATTTTTATTAGTATTTACCCTATCAATTTTTACGTTTTTTTTTCAATTTACTAAACTAATAATGTAATATTTCACGAAAGAGAGAGAGTTATAAGTGATAAAATAGTTCAGCGGGATGTTTTTCATTTTTAATTGCTTATTTATTCTCGTAAAGCTTATCAGCTTATCACTTTATCGAAAATAAATATTTTTAATTTTTAATACTCTAATTTTAATGGTTATGCATATATATTATTTTATTTATATGTAAATATGAAAACGAGAGAAAATAGTTCAAGTGGAAATCGAAATATTTAATATTTTAAAAATTAGTCAAAAATTCTTTTAAGAAATAAAAATTATTGATTTAAGAAATGTTTTTACATAATTTTTATTTTAGCATATCTTTTTCTCTTAATCGGCCGATTCACATTGCACAAGATTCATTGTTTAGTGCTACTTCCGGTTGGACAGATTATCGTGGACTCTTCAATCTAGCAATTCTTCTTTTATTCGTTTCGAATGGTCGAGTCGCTCTTGAAAATCTCATAAAGTATTATTTTTATTCATCAATTATTGTATAATTTATCGTTTAATTTTTTTTTATACATAATTATAGGTATGGGATTTTGATTTCACCTATAGAATGGATTCATTTCGCTTTTACTGATCCTTGGAGTTGGCCTAATTTAACCTTAACTCTCTTCTCAAATGTAACGATTCTTTTGGTGTTCTTTATGGAAAAAGCGATTGGTATGGATTTTTGAGAGAATTAGCATATAATATATAAAAACTAATGAGAATTATGTCTTGATGGTGATATGATGTCTCGTATAATTTATTTTTATTTATTTTGGTAAGATATTTCTTAATTCTTTAAATTTAAATTCATTTAAGAAGTTCAGATTCAATAGTTTTTTTTCAAATATCGAGATTTTTAATTAAATATAAATTTAAATATAAATTTATAGCGATGCTTTGGATTGGCGAAATTATTTCGCGTTGCTTTTATGTTCTACTGTTTTCCATTCATATTATCTGTCCTGCTGCTGTAATATTGTTTATAAAGGTTTTTATTCATTTTTTTATTTTTATAATGGTTTCATCATATTTCAACTTAAGACGAATTTTTCTTGTTATCAATTTTTGATACAAATGAATTTTCCTTACTTGATAGATTTCTCAATTTTTTATAATCAAATAATATTTTTTTTCAGAGTAACCCTTTATATTCGTGTTTTGCCTTATCAATTTATGTTGTACTGTTTTTGAAATTAACATCGTATGTCCATATGAATTATTTCTATAGAAGTTTGAAGATTATTACTAGGAAAAAAAACGTATGTTTCCTTATCGTAACATTTTCCACTTTTCATCGGTTTCAGTATTTTTTACTGATCTTGCTTTTGCCTTTTTTTAAGTTATCAAATTTCCTTGCTTTAGAATTTAAAGTTATGGAGTTCTATCACTTTGCGATTATTGATTATTACATAAAGCTGAGGTGCTGTTAAGATGATATCTCGTAAAAAGATCTCGCTGTAATAGTCAGCCAAATGGTAAGTACCGTAAGAGAATAGTGGAGACAATAAAGAAATAGATAGCTTAAGTAAAAAATTTTAATACAAATCTGATATAATTATTAAAATATTCAATTATTTACACAGATATCACAGAACACTTCGAGTTATCCAAATAATATAAATTTGAAAAATTTGTATTACTTTATTTTTGCTCCAACACTTTGTTATGAAATTCGTTTTCCTCGATCGCCGAATCGCAGAAAATCGTTTATGGTCAAAAGATCTGCTGAAGTAAAATTTTAATATTTTTAAAGAATCAAATAAGAATTTTTAAGAAATTTACAGTTCGTGACAAAGAGAGTTATAATTTTTTGTTTGTTCTTCCTATAAGGTGAATTTTTTATAGATATAATTTTCAGCTAATTCTGCTAACAATAATAATTGTTGCTTTATCACAACAATGGGTTATACCTTTGCTTCGAAATAGTGTCGAACCTTTTTCAACGATGAAACTTGATCGATGTTTAGAACGAGTTTTAAAATTAGCTGTGCCTAATCATGTTATATGGTTGATTTGTTTTTATACAATATTTCATTCTGCTCTCAATCTCATTGCAGAAATACTTCGTTTTGCTGATCGGCAGTTTTATCTGTACGTTTATCTACATTTTTTTAAAGTTTTGGAATTTTTTAATTATATTGAATAGTTCAAAAAGATTTCAGAGATTTTTGGAATGCTGAAACTATATCGGAATTTTGGAAGTCATGGAATATACCCGTGCATCGATGGGCACTCAGGCACATTTATCTACCCTTAATCTCAGCTGGTTATAGCAAAATGATAGCTGCAGTCGCTGTATTCTTTGTTTCTGCCTTTTTTCATGAATATCTTGTTGGTTTTTTTTTTCTGTTTGTGAATTACAATTCCTCTTTTACATCGAGAATTTAAAAAAGTCCTAAGATGTGCTAGATATGCTATATGAAAATCTTATACAGAAAACTTATGGTTTTAGTTTCTCAACACTTTGCGTGGTTATTAAAGTTCTCATGTGGTATTTGTTAAAGGTGATTTTGGTAACAAAATTAGTCACATTTATTATCGCATCAGTAATAAAATGTTTTAGGTATCTGTGCCTTTGCATATGTTTCGACTTTGGGCTTACTATTCAATGATGATACAAATTCCTCTGAGTTTCTTGACGGAAAAAATTTTGAAAGGTGGACGTCCTGGTAACATTGTAATGTGGCTTTCGCTGATTCTTGGTCAGCCTATGGCCATATTGATGTATGTTCACGACTGGTACATAATCAATGAACCTTCTGCAGTGAATGAGACGATTATTTTGCGTGGTGCTTACAGATAATGTGTTTTAGCTTATTTTCTTTTTCAAGCTTAAAATTTAATCCTTTTTTATTTTGTCTATTTTTTAAAATATTATTGTTATACCTCATTGTTTTTTTCAATTTGTCTTCTAGTTAAATTATTTTGAATCAAAAAAGCAATATTTTTTTAAAATACTAAATGATTTCTTAAAAATTTTTAATGTTCTATGATATTTTCTATTTTTGATATATTCTTCGAAGTAATGGATTGCAATATAAAAAATTTAGAAAGTAAAATAATTTTTCATTCGATAATGGCTTTATTATTTTTTACTTATTCATCTTTTTATTTGTTTGTTTTATTTTGGATTAGATATTATTTGGTTTCTGGATTTTGGCTAACGATTTATTAGATAAATTATTTCTTTTTATTATAATTCTTAATATTGAATTTCGAAATTTTTCATTCGGCAATGACTTTATTCTTCTATATTAATCTCTGTTTGTTTGTTTGCTTGTTTTCCTTTTGAATAAATTTGCTTATTTGTAAATTATTTAGTTTCTCGATTTTAACTAACGATTTATTAGATTAAATTGATGTGATTCTTCGTTATTAAATTGGTTGCTTCAATAAATACTTATAAAAAATCGTTAAAATTTTTTTAACACGATTGTTTTCATCAAATTTGCCTTTAGGAATGCCTTTTATCGAAGAAAAATCCCATTTTTCAAATGAGCATTCGTAAAAAAAATTTATCAATTTTTTTTTTTTTCATATTTTAATAGACAATAAATGAACTATAATTATATAAAATATTAAAATATTTTCCTAAAAATTCAGTTGATTCTGAATATTTTAATAATTTTTGTATTTTAATAAATTTATAGAATTTCGATTTTAAAATTGATATAAATTATGGAATTCGATCGACTTCGCAAATTTCGTTGTATTCTTATCGATTCGAATGGTTTTCGATGGTTTATTTATTGGTTTAATGATCAACAAATATTTGGTGTAACAGATGCTTTAGTTAATATTTTAGTTAATATAATATAAATTATATAAATATATAATATAATATAATATAAATTTAATTAATACAAAATAAATTTAGACAATATAATATAAATTTTTTTTAAAGACTATATCGATAAATTATCAGAAATTATTTTAAAAATTATCGGAAATTATCAGAAAGCATTTCTTGCGATTATTTATCTTTTAAAATTTTTTTTGTATAATTGTTAAATCTTTGTTATTTTGACTGAAAACAAGCAGTGTGGATTCGATTCGAGTTGCTCGACTTGTGTAAATCAAATCTCTGATTGAAAAATTCGAGGATGCATCTCGTTTCTCCGATTTCTTAGTAAAAAACTATTTTATTAGTCACTGCGACAAATAAAACCAGAAACTCCACGTATTGTTAAAAGAAAGCGAATAATATGACTAAAGAAAGAAATTTTCAATGATTTAAGAATTGCAAAAAAATTCAATTTTGTAAAAATTTGGCAAAAAGTTGAAGAATTTAAAAAAAAAAATTCTGCTTTTTTGGTACTATGGTAATTGGGTTGGCTCTACAAGTTATCGCTTCATTATTCTATCGTCGGCTAAAAAATTTATCGAAGTTTTCATGGCCAATTTTTTTAAAGCGACTATAGAAAAACGCATCAGTTCCACTAAGGTTGTCGCAATACCATTTTACAATTCATAATTATTTAAGTAATATGAAAATTTATTATAAACTTTTGACGGACGATGCTTGTTGTACAGAAGTGGATAAAGGTAAAATTAGATAAACTTAAGTTGAAATATATTAAATGTATTTATATATGTATCATAAAAATATAAAAATATAAAATTTAAGATATTTAAAATATAATATAAAATATAAAATAAATATAAAATAATATATAAAATCTAATAAGTAAAAATTAAATAAAAGGGAAAAAAAACTGAATATATATTTATAATTGTCTAGTTGGATCTATTTAATTCAAATATATATATATATTTTTATCTTTTAAAAATTATTAATTTATTAATTTTTGTTTACCAGACGAAAGTATTTGAAGCAGTTATGGAGCGATCCGATAGACGAAAATTACTCGGTAATATCGCCGATAGTTTATTAGAGGATTTATGGAGGTTTGTTATATTTCTACTTTTTATTATCATTCATTCTTATCTTATTATTTTTTTCATTTTTTTTCTATATTATTCTTCATTAAATTACGTTTGAATTCATTGAATTTTTTAATTTAAAATTTCTTTTTTGTGATATTTCTGTTGTTATTTTTTTCTTTTTGTTTTGTTTAAATTTTATTTCTTTTCTTTTTTTTTGATTTTAATTTTTCATATTGTAAAAAATTATAAATATTTTTCTTATCGTCAAATCATGTTTCCAGCTAAATTTTATTTTTCTTTTTTATCATTTTTTTTTCAAAGTATATGGTTTTGACATTTTTTTTTTTGCTAGTAATTGCATTGATTTTTTCGGTGAATAATTTTGGTTTTTTTTTTTAATGTATATTTTTATTCTTTTTATTAATATTTTTTCTTTTGGATTGGCAATTAAATTTTTTATAGATTTCATCCTATGTTATTCTTTTATTACTCGTCTATTTTTATAATTTATTTATTTTTATTTTCATAAATTTATTCGCGGTTTCATAATTTATGGTGAAATTCCAAACCAGTTAATTGTAGCTAAAAGCGCATTTTTTTGAAATCTATGAAAAACTATTTTTGAGAAATTTGCTATGAAATCGATTTAAAATCGGCCAGTCCTATCAAATCGACTCAAAACATGGCCAATGAGATTGGAAGACATTAATAAGCTATCTTTAATTATTTCAGCCTAAGACATATTTTACATCCTCGTCGAGTGGATAAAATCGCACTTTACCTTCGCTGTAATTCCATATCTATTATCATAAAATGTCGCCGAGGCTGTTTAGATCATTTTCTTCGCCATTCATCACAAAAATTGATGCATTTCGGATAGATAATGTCAAAAGAGAGGAGGTTAGGTCGAGATTTGGACTAATATGGTCATAAAAAATTTTGAATGCCTTGGCGGTCAAGCGATTTATAGATGGTAAAAAGAAGAGTGTCTTCGGGCAATTTCATTTACAGCTTCGAATCATGAAAGCCCTAATAGATAAAGCAATGAAATCAAAAATCTTATGCCCTGTTTGAACTCTTTCGCAGATTGTTTCAACTTTCTAATTAGCGAGTGGCATCACAATTTGCGGAAATATTAGAGCGATAGAAAGTGCGTGAAACGGGCTCTTCATTAGTACAAGAAAATAAGAAATTAAGTTAAAAGATGAGAAATTGTGCTCTTTCCTTAAATTTGATTATTTTTATAGTGACAGTGAATTATTTGGATAATAGTTTTTATATCATCTATCGCTACTGTTATTAACCGTTATATTTACACTACAGTATTGAAATAAACCAGAAGTACGCGAAGTGCTGAAGTACGCGAAGTACTAAATTACGCGAGCTTATTTATACACTGGCAATAATAAAATAGCCAATGAAATAGTATCAAAACAATTTATTAAAGAGAAAGGAACAAAAAAATCACATGTTAACGTTTATTCGAGTATTATATAGTGATAATATATAGAATTATCGTACTTGGAGGATAATTGGAGGATTTAGAACCTATCCGTAGTTCTTGTTCGATAAGCGATGGTCGTTGTGGTATCAATAATATCAATAGAATATGACAACCTACAACAATAAACTTGACGAAATTCAAAAATGAACAACGAGGCGATGATTGAAGCTGCGTTGGTCGAAAGAGTCCAATCATTCACCATAATCTCTCGATTTTATGTAGTAATTGAAGCCATTAAATCAAAGGGAGTCAAATTTAAAAGGGAAGAATTGAGTCCATTACTGTTTCTTGTTGTTTCTTCATTATAGCGACGCATGATACATGTCAAATAAGGTAAAATCAGGTCATTTCCTTTAGGTATATTATATGTCATGTTGTAGATTTGTTGATTTTTACTCTTAATAGCATAATTTCTGGTTCCACTAGATGAGACTTCTTCCTCAAAGAATCATTTGAGGACGACTACTAGTGAATTTCTTGATTGTACCATTTGAATTTCATTTTTAATGACAGAAATCGATTCTATCATAAGTTTATTCTTAGCAGAAGTAACATAATTCTTGGCTATCTTCTCCACAAATGCTGGTAGATTTATTCAGTTCATTAGATTTTATGGTTTTATCTTGTTTTGCAATTTATCGATATATCTCTCAATTATTCAGAAAAATAAAGCCCTCCTACAAATACAATACAGGTGAAAGGAGAAGTATGGCGAGGTTTCAGCGATGTTAAGCAGAATCTATCAAAGTTTGGCAGTTTGGCAGCATTAAGAGAATCTAATAAAACTTGCGTGATATATTAAAGAATTATAAATATTCGAGGATTTATTCATTGCAACCTAATTTAAAACGCAGTTAGAATCTGTTTATGCCATAGTGGAGTAATAACGGCTACCGCATTTAAAGGATGAAGAACACTACGGGTTTTGTGGTGGCAAAGGCTTTTGGTGAAGAAGCATAATTGAGGTGCATATTTTCCAAAGAAATTGAGATTCGCGACTTTGGCCGACATTTTACAACAAGATAGGTTTGAGGGTTTAATATATAATGAATAGGGACTTAGGAGTATAACGAAGTACCAATCTTTGATAGGATATTGAGCGATGTAGCATGATGTAGTGAAGGATCTTATCTGATTATGTTACTGACTTTGGAGTGGATTTTCACAAGATCCATCAGGTTTTGAGGAATAAAAATTTTAATTTAGAACGATAGGCAGAAAGATTTTTTAGTCTCTGAAGAAATGGGTTTTTTTTACCAAAAAAAAGCAATCAAGTGATGGGATGGTATATTCAATTTTTAGGTTTCGCTAAGGCTTGGGCGCCCTACCTAAAGCGAAAAAGGTCAACTTCATCTATTTTTAAGGGGAAAAATGGCAATATGAAACTAATGAGACATCTGATTTGTTCAACT